AACAATTGAGTGATGTACTTAAGAACTGGTACTTTAATTATCCATTAAGCTGGGAAAATTGTAAGAAACGTTGAGAGATTAAAAAGATAGTTTAAGTATATGTTGGATTTAATCATGCAAAATTAATTTCATCGACAGAAGACTTTTGTAAATGTCGGTTGAATACAACTCATTCACATATTAACAATTTCTGCACACAATTTAAGCTCTTTTGTCTTACTTGTAAGTATTTGTTTTGATTTCCATTGCATCAGATACGAATACTTAGTTATTTCAGCATCTTTTGTTTTCTTACGATTACAGTTTGCTTGATTTGTATTCAATTGCTGGTTGTATGATTCATTCAAAGTTTCATTCAAGCTGGGGAATCATTATATATATTACATATTCGTTGTGGCAGCCGTTTCTTTTCCAATTCAAACCACTCTCGTCGTCAACAATATCGTCATCATTATCATCGTAGTGGTCGCCTGGTAATTTTGATGACTTGGCGCGATTGAAAGCGGTTATGGCCAGCTTTAAAAGATTCCCCCGAGCTCAACGGCACCCAAAACTTTTTGCAGTCTTTTTGCCATTTTAATGTTGTCTCATTTCTTCGTACACTAGGAGAAAATCTATTTTAATAAATTTAAGATAAATGTATGCTTTCAAATTTTATGTTTGAAGATATAAGCTTTACTCTTTGATCCTAATTTTACAAAATTCGGTTAAGATGTGTTATATTATTATTATAAAAAAATGATGAAATAATTGTTTGGACTACCTTAGTAATAATAGATCTTATATGATATTTTTTCCTCTGTAAGTCCCCTTTTCTTGTTGTCATGGGCCATTGGAAGCGTTTTGGTTTGTTTTGACCATTTCTTTTCGTTTTGGTTTCAGTTTCGGTCCGGTATCGTTTTTCTTGCTGATTTTGCTTATGCGAATTTAATTTACCGAAAGTGAGAAATGGTCACGGAACCCACTATCCCGTTCCCTCATCTTTCACGCGATCTTCGCTATAATGAGGAACACTAATTATGTTTTTATACGATATACGTCTATATAATCCACCGGTTAATGGCAACTTATTGTGGCCCATTTCCCATTTGGCGTCTTCTTTGTCGAAGGCATAATTTGTTTTCAAATATTTATTTATTTTCGTACTTTCGGGGTGAACTCGAACTCGAGTGCGTGTGCTTGTAATTGTTCGATGGGATTGCATAACACCATTTGCGGTGTCTGGAAATTGTCCATTGCGGCGATTACGACGCGATGTCCGATGTACTTCCCCCATAATCGACGGAGAAAGCATGGCAAAAATGTTAAGTCTTCCTCGGAAATCGGGGAAATGGAACGCAAAATCATCTGCGCCGATCAAATGCATAAAAAAAAAAATAATTAAAAATAGTATAAAGTACTGTTAAGAAATAGTGCACTTTCTAGAAACCTAACAGTTCTAGTTCATCTTTTTTTCAACAACAATAAATTAATTGAACAGAAAAGGAACTTTCCTGACGAAAGGTAATGGATTATTATTAGTTTTCAATCATATTTGTTTTGACAAATGAATTCTGTCTCAAAAATTAGGTCAACCATTAATAACAGTATGGAAATAAATAAATTTCGATTTTGACTAAATTAAAAGGAACATTTTTCTATCAGAAGTTATAAAAAATATTATTTTTCCATTCTTTGAAATACTAAATTGCATGGATTGATGGATTGTAGATGTTTTTAGTGAGCATGTTTCTCAATTATTGTTCCACAAATCCTAAAACAAATAAAATCAGTGAATTTGTATACTGTTTCCCATTTTCCCCCTTGGCTGTTGTGTTCAAAACATTTTCCGCATCAGAATCCTGTCCAAATATTGCCTTTTTTGTTACGACCGGCGCTCAAACACTTTAGCTCAACCAACCCCTTGACATTTTCACTCAAAAAAATGCTAAAATTATTCCCACTTGGCCCGCCACCTGAATAAAACCCTCGATTTGCACAGGTTTCACCACCCAGTTGGACATAGTTCAATGGCGAATCCCTCCCCGCTTTTTCCAAGAAGGAAAAACAGCGAAATTCCCCAGCAGAGCAACATTCCGATGCTAATTCTAATTAAGCGCATTTGATGAAGTAAACGTGTCCCGAGTTTTTACTTCATAAAGACAAAGGCAGCACAAATCCGAAACGAATCCAAACTGAAACTAAAGAACGAGCAGGAGGGTGTTGGAAAAGCGGAAAAAAGAAAAGCGCAGAGGGTTGAGCTCGCAGATAAAATTTCAACGCGCGCTCATTAAAAACTTTTGGAACGGCAATAAAAAAAAAATAGAAAAAATACCAAAAAAAAAAATAAAACAGAGCAACAACAATAGAGCCTGAAGATGAATAAATAAAATGAAATGTGTAAGAGAGGCGAAAAGCAGAGAAAATTCATTGTCATTGTCAAAATAAATTTTTCTTTTGAAATCCATTAAAGGTTTCATTTGAGGCGAAATTGTTAGAAAAGTGCAAACGGAGAGCAAAATCCAGAATGCGAACCGAACAGAACCGAACCGAACCGCAGATGAAGGCGAAGAAGTGGCCGGAAAAAATTGAAATTATTACAAAACTTTTGTGATTATCTCGGCTGCCTTTGGCCGGGCCCACGTCCTTCACGTCCCTCCAATCAGGACGAGGTCCTGCGGAGCTGGCCAGAAAAAAGCGTCAACTCTGTGTCGCCCAATAACTGTCAATGCGGCAAGCGTTTGGGCGTGGCCATCCGCTCGATTGCCCAGACAATTGTTGCGCCAATGGCCAGAGGATCAAGTCGAAATGGGAAGTATCTTTGTAAGGTTCAGTATATAAAGTCATATCCTTGAGAGGACTAACGATATTTGTTCTGGAACTCTCTTTCACTGCACCTCATTACCAACAACTTACTGCCTTCTGCAAAGTAATAACCCAACCACTTACCTGGAATTCTTTTCTTAAGCTTTAATATTATTACATCTATAAACTCATCTTTGCTTATATTCATTTTAATTCTGGAAATATTATATATATCTTAGGATTGTAAACTTTGATCTTAATATTAAATTCTTTTTATTAAATTAAAATATGACCTATGTTGTATATACTTCTACTTCTATTTGATTTTTATATGAGATTATTTTTATTACTTTAAGAAAAGCTTAAAGTAAATAAGACTTACATAGTACATACCATTATTTACCTTAATTTAAATATTTTATTTAAATATATATTTAAGCCATGTTTTTATTTTTTATTTAAGTTTTAAGTAAGACAAATTTTTTTGAAATGATTCAGATATTTATTTCTATAAATACCATTTTTTTATTAATTGGGCATGTCGAATGTATCTATATTTAATTAAGGCAAGTGCCATGACTTTAATTTACTTAAAGCATAATATTCATTTGGTATTAAAAATTATTTAACCAGAAGATAAGAAACACCTTGTTGGTATAATAACTTTCGGATAACTCACAAATGGTATTAAGTCACTTACATTTAAATGATTTATTACTATTTTCACGGAAAGAGCTCTAATAGTAGACAACCCAGTAGACCTTATTCATATTATTATTAATGAATAACATAAAGACCTTGCGAAAGTTCGACACAATGTAGATCAACCGTGGATTAAATGTTGATCAAAGAGAAACCCGGATCGGCGCATTAACGCCTATTTAGTCATCGCATCCAAATTGGATGAAATGGGGTGATGTATCACGGAAATAACCCGATTAGCAGCTGCATCGTATAAATCAGTTTTATAAATGTTTAATAAACAACTGGGCGAGTGTCGTAATGTCTATACCCTGTGGCAAGGGTATGCAGCTTTCTCCATTAGCAAACGGCCTTGCCGCCTGACAGTCGGACCCCCCCACCCCCTGAAAAATATCCAAAAAATATATATATACATAAGTATATTCGGAAGGGGCAAGACGAGCCACTTAATATAGAGATTTATGCTAATCAAGCAAAAAGTATTTGGCGAGAGGGGTCGCAGTTGGCAGTTGGCAGTTGGCTCAAATGGAACGGAATCGAGGGGAGCGGAGTCTTCGTCATACTAAATGAAAGTGAAAATTCTTATGTAATATGCTAATATTTCTTGCCGCGCCTTGGATTTGAATTTTTCGCAGTTGTTGTTGCTGCTGCTGTGTGGATTACGAGAGATTTTTTATAATTTTAGATTTATGGAAGGGGCCATGAAGAAAGCGAGGCATCCAGAGAAGTTTTGAGTCGTTGTTATTATCTTCTGAATGTTTTTTTTTTGTTTTTTTTCTGTCATCTAATAATCGACAACGAAATTTCCAGCGACTTTGCTGGATTTGTTTTTATTTCAAGCGGGTGGAAAAGAAAGAAAAAAATCGTATCTTACTTTTGTTTATTTTTTCTTCGGTCTTATTTATTCACAATTGGTCGTGTTTGTGCTCAAACTAATTAATTTAAATTTAAATGTGCGTGTAAATGGAAAGTTTTATACTTTATGGCCGTGCATTTGATTTTTTCGTAAATAATTTATTAAGCCACATAATTTGGGATTAGATAATGGAAAAAATCCGTAGTATCTGCATTATAAAACGTTGTAGATGCGTATTTGTGTGCCGATTATGGCTGCGTATTAAAAATCAATTAATCTGGAGAGAAAACATTCATTATGCTAATGCCGTGGAGTGGGGTCGAACACGACAATTGATAAATGAGGCAGCGAGTAGGTGAAATGAAAACAAAAGCCATGAATTAATTGAACACATTTTTAATGCCGAATAATCCGGCGAACAAGTTGCCATCCCATGGCCGATGCATTTAATTAGGGACTTAGAGAAAAATATTAAATCCGAAAACACGGCTAAAGTTTTCCGGGGGGTCAATGCAATATTTCTTTTGCAAAATGTTGGTTCAACCTTTTGCTAAGCCTATTAAACATGATTATCAAAATGGTAAATATTGTGAGAATTTATTTTCAAATAATTTAATTCATGTGCGTTTAATAAACTACACACTTTTCTAGTCTAAGTATAAAATTAAATTATATATATATGCAATGCGAGAAGATAGTAATACCATTTTAATCCGATGAGGCCATTTTTTTCTCTACATTTCTAAAGCCAATTTGGTGTTCCGATATTTTATCCAATTAGCCAGTAATCAAAGCCATCGCTTCAAATAATTTACTTAATTTAATTTGGCGTTGGCTGGTTTTAGCCAATAGCAGGTGTTTGATATACATGTGGGTGTTTTTAAATGGATTGAATAAATAAATTAAGCAAAAGGGCCAACAAATCACTTGGATTGGTACCCCCGATATTTCAGTATTTCATCATTTCAGTAGGGATTATTGCAGCAGCAGTTCTTGATGAGGGCGTGTTCGTAACAGGATTTGGCATACAGCAGCGAGCAGTCGTAGTACAGGCACTGGGGTGGCCTCAACTGCGGGGCACCGGCTGCGGGTTAAAGGCGCATTATTGAACCAAATCGAATTAATAATTGCTGGGGCATAAATAATGTCGCCGAGCCCCCTGATTAATTACCTGGAAAATCGCAGCAACAGGCATCGTGGACCATCTTGTGGGAGCAGTACGAGTAGACCGACGAGTCGCACAGCGGGCAGCCGGGCTGTTGTGGCGGCGGACCGAAGCCCTGTCCCGGAAATCCGGCGACTCCGCTTCCGATTCCGCTTCCGGTTCCGGGTCCCAGGCCCCCGAACCCAGCCCCCGCCCCAAAGGAGGGTCCCAGCCCGTTGCCGAAGTTCTGGCCACCAAACTGACGCGCTAAAAGAGCCACAAAAAGGTAAGTTACTTTTTAAAGCTTTTTCTTACTTACTTCTCTAACAAAGTATTATTGAATTTGCAGAAAAATTGTTTGCTTATATTTATTTAAGTCAGGAAAAAGATATAAGTAAAAAACAATAAAAATATGCAAGTGTTGGACTAGTCACAATCCATAAAATAAATTTAAAAGTGCAACTGTTTTATTAATTGGAATTCATAGTATTTTTTTTATTTTGTAGACACAACAAACCTACTACAAATATTAACCCTTTATTGTACATCAAATTTTAGCCCTAAGAAGTGTTTTTGTTTAGTAATTAAAAAGATCTTGTGTACTGTATTTAATTTAAGTTAAATCATTATTATGACATTTTAATACTTGTACTTCGTTTTCGTCTATCTTTTACTGAATCTATGTTATACAGGGAACAAAACTAATCATTATTTGTGAGTTTTATTAGCAAAAGACGACATATTTTACCTATTTCTGTTAAAAAGAACCCCTTTTTAGTCTGGTTCAGAAGGGGCGTTAGAATTATAATTAAAATTGTTTGTTCTTGGAACAGAAAGGATGTTAAATAAAATATTTAAACAATAAAAAATCACACGGAATGATTATTTTCGGTCTTTGTTATATTTTGTATACTAAATAATGTGCCTTAATAATTTTCCTATAATAATTTTCTTCTATTAAATAAATTTTTTAAAATTCTTAAAGAGCAAAAGCCCACTAAAAAAGGGTTAAATATGTTTTTAAAAGATAAGTGAAGAAGAAAATTAATGAGAACTGTGATAATTAATTTGTAGTTCAAAATAAATTTAATGACTGTTTTTTTGGCGTACTTACATGCACTCTCCTGCTTCCCAGCCACCAAAGCGACTGCCACTAAAATGAGCAGTAGAACGTGGTCCACACTGCGTATGCGCAACATTTGGAATATTTTGGAGATCAGATCTTTTCCAAAACCAAAAGTCGTGTGCCGAGTGATGATGCTGATGCTGGAACCGCCGTGCGTCGACTGCAACAAAGGAAACCTTTATAAAACCCGCGATCGAGTGGCTGGGCGATCGATGCGGCTTTCGACTTTCGGCTTTCAACTTGTGACAAATTCATATATAATTTGATTTGATGGCTCTCCAGACAGCACGACAACTTGAAGCTCTGATCTCGGATTTCAGCTTTCCAGCGGACCCCAAAAAAAATAAAACAAACAAAAAATGCCATCGAAAGTTACGGGGCCCACCAATGTAAACCAAATCGCAGAGGTCTTTATTTTATTGTAAGCTTCGATTGGTCTGACAACTTGATTGGCAAAACTCAGCCGAAAACTCCCACGCACTCAGATTCGAAATTCAAATTTCAAGCATCAGACTTAAAATTTCTGGCCGTTGACACATTTCTCGATTGCCAGCGAAATCAATTCGAATTTTGAATGCCGATGCGGATGCTGAATGCTGAATTTCATCCACCTGCAGCAGCAACCTTTTCAACTTTTACTTTTCCACTTCATCGCCGCCTGTTAATTGCTTCATCTGAAGTTATCCCATCTGCCAGCCCCAAAAGTTATTTTCCCAGACTCGCGGAAGCGTTCGCTTATGTAAAATTAATAAGACATAAAACAAATTTCGAATTATGCGCATAAAACAAACATCAGAAACGGTTTTCAATGTTGTTTTTTTTTTGGGTTTTTTGGGTTTAAGGTTGTTAATCGTTTAAAGCGAAACGCGAAGAGCAAAGTAAAAGTGTTTCATTTTGATTGAGTTCGAGTTGCTAATTGATCGCAGGCCATTATGCTAATGGGTAAAATGGTTGTTAAAGTGCAGAAAACACATTCTAGAAGACCCGATGATCGACCTCAAGCCAGGCCAATCTTGATTCAGATCTGATTTCGACCCTCCCCAAAACACTTTCTCCCGCTCGAGAGGCGAAAGTCCCTTTGCCACTCTGCAAATAAAGCTGCTCAAGCTGCCCAAACTGCTCCCAAAAGTAATTTCATTTAATTAACTGCCCGATTTGAGCCTGGTCGAGCACAATTTGAATGCAGCCAATGAAAGTGAGCAGTTTTCGGGGCCCTTTAGGAAAATAACAATGCAACACAACACAAAACACACAGAAAATATGAAATATACTGGCCGTTTTCATTCATTTTCATTTTGATTTCGATGTTGATTTCCATTTGCATTTGGAACCGACTCGAGTGAGTATCTGTCAGTACGTGTATCTCGTTATGCGCTCGTCTTCGTCGTCGCTCTGCGTTGATTATCTTGTAAATTTGTTGCACGTTTTTGATGCAAATCCGCTTGTCATGTCGCCCGGCACACACATTCGGACACAAAAAATTACACAAGTGATGTCATCACCTGCTGCAGATGTTGCAGATACACACAGATATATCCCCATGCAGATACAAATGCGGACTTGTAGATAACAAGATGGATGGGCCGCCCTCTATTTAGATCTCACGCACGCAGTGTCACAACTTCGAAGGGGGGAACTTTTACAACATTCAGTCGGTTTGTTATGTTTTCGGCACAGATATCAATTTGGAATTCAAGGGACGAAATTGTATGAAATGGGTTGGATATGTGAACATTATTTGAAATATTTTAGAGATCCTGCAAAAAATGCTATGGAAATATTTTGTAGAATGTTAGGAATAACAAAAAGTAGCCTTATAATTTTAGAATTACGTTTTTTTCTATCTGCTTCCCCATCTCAAGTGTTTTTACCACCATGTATCTCAATTTGTAAGTTTAACTCCGCAGACCCAAAAAGAAAACAATAAAGCCAACAGAACAATGCAGCATTGCACAGTGGTTACCATGGTATCAAAAATTAAAAACATTTAGCATATTTTAAAAAATTTAAGTAGTAATTGTTAAGCTTAAAAATATATTTACACTTATGATTAAAATGTATCTTGCATTTTTATTTTTATTTAAGTGTTTTCTAATTTTAACAATTTTTTGTTGAATTTTTTGATTTTTCAAATAAACAGCAAATTTAAAGGTTACACCTAAAGAAAAAAAAAAAACCTCTTTGAAAAAAGGGTCAATAAAAATGATTTAAATAATCCAAAAAAATTTTTAAAGCATTTTTAACTAGCGTTACCAGTGTGCGGCGGCGATCGAGCGGCGCTACGTGCGCGTATCTGATAGATACATGTGACGTAACCGCGGACAAGGCATTACTTTTACCATCTCCCTCTCTCCATCCGCGGCTTGTTTATTGGTTTTCGTTTCGCTGGAATGTATCTCACTCTCTCCCCTTTTTAAACGAGTATCTCGAAGTTCGTTTGCGGTGCGTCTTAAACGGGTAAACAGGTCACTTCTGCTTCTTGAGCGACGACCACTTTCCAGTCCGCGATGGTTGACCTCAATTAAACACCTGCCACGCCCAGTTGCCCCCCTCTAACGACGCCCTTTCACCGCCCCCGCCTACCTGTTGCCACCTTCGATTGTCCACAGACCACAGAAATGGTTGGAGCCGCAACAGAAATTCCTTTCTGGCCAATTCGACTGGTGAAAGGGCGACCCCTCTGGGGGCATCTCCCCACGGGCATATGCAAAATTAAACTCGTAAACAATGCACGGCGATGAAATGGCCATCGAAAAACCATTTTGTTTTGTTTAAATTATTTATTTGTGGGCGCTTTGATTTATAAGCGGGCTAAAAACCAATTGGCCGCCGCCAAAAACGCATTGGGACCAGGTTTTAACTTCCGCCAGAAAGTGTGAATAGCGATTAGTAAACTAGTGCAGGAATATATATAATTTATATGTCATTTAAAGGGGAATTAAACCATAAATTTTTAGAGGCATGCTATTTTAAAATCCATAAGAAATAAGACAAGTTCGCGGCCTTAAATAGTATTAAACTCCGAAGTGCAGTAAAAATCACTAACCCAATTAGAAAGTAATTCAAAATAAATATAAATATTTTGTATATAAAAAAATCTAGACTCCCATTAATTAAGTTAAAAGTCGTGCACCTACAATTTATTATTGCAACGTAATTATTTTGTTTATTAGAAATATGCTGCCTGGCAAAAGTTATTGTTAAGCTCAACTCTTGCCGCTGTTATTATTATTATTATTGTTATTTTTATTGCTCTAGTGTGGCACAAAACCAATATTTGTGTTCCCAGGAGCTCTACTTGTTGTTTGTGCCGATGGTTTGTTTACGTTTGCGGCGTATTTACATAAGTTATTTGCAGACAAAATGCTAGAATGCCAATATTTGAACAAAATAATGTGAGAACAAGAATTATATTTTCAAAAACTGCGCTTCACCACTGCCATTTCAAGTGTTAGAATATTTTAGCAGGCTGCAATTAAAATGCAGACTCCGTTGACAACTTGACTACCCATCAAATGGCCATAAAGAAGATGCTATCTTTATTATTTGGGCCATGAAATCTGACTCACACATAGTTTTTCCGAGGGCGGGGAAAAGAAAACGCCAGCGCTGCGCTGCGGAAAATATGCAAATTAGCTTTATTATTTGACAGTTTCTATAAAATGCAAAAGCCACAAAAGGCAGCAGCAGCAGCAGCTACAACTTCATCAACGTCAATGAAAACTTTTGCTACGTTTTCGGAGGTGGGGGTATGTCCATCCAAGTGTTCTGGGGAACCCAGAACCCAGAACCCAGAGCCCAGAACCCAGTAACCAAAACCCTACATCCCAGCACCCACATTGCTCCGGCTTATATGACAAACTGAAATGCAATAAACAAGTTGACAACTCTGACAATTTGGACAAGAGAAACATGTTAAATGCTCGGAATTATGACAAGAGACGAGGAGTCGAATCCAGGACGAAAGTCAGGGCGAAAAATCTGGGAGGTAGGGTCCTTAAAACCGGAAAAAGGGGGGGAGGGGGGCATTCGAGGGGTGGAAATGAAAATGGCCAAATGAGAGCAAACAAACAAACGGCATAAAGAATAAGTAATAAGCATGCAAATGCGTCAAGAGAGCAACTCTCCAGATGCAGATACAAAAGCTCGGTTACTGCGGATATGATGGGGTATGGGTATGGGTATGGGCCATGAGTTTGGCTATCTCATGGATACGAGATACTTTTTCGGCTTAATTACTTTGAGGAAGGAAGCCAGTTAGTTGCCTGGCTCTCGGGACCACTGCTCCACTGGCCAAGTATCTGAGTATCTGCTCCAAGTATCCAAGTATCTGAGTATCCAAGCATCCAAGTATCTGCCGAGGGCCCCGTTTAACTATTAAGGGAGCAGATACTCGTTCACTCAACAATGGCCAACTGCTTGGCAACTGTTTGTTTCGGCAACTTTCCACAGGCCCGCCTTTGTTGGGACTAATCAAAAGTCAGTTTGTAAGTTAGTTCCGCACTGTGATGTGAAATATTGCGGGGAAAACTATTCGTTTTGATTAAGACTGGACTCTGGGGTTAATATTACTCCCCACCAGAGTGATTTCTGGAAACATTTCAAGCGTTCCCTGTCCGAAAATCAATTATTTTCGATAAAAGTAAAGATAAAGTTACTTAAAACAAGACAGATTTTAAGTACTAACCATTAGCAAAATTCAAAATCATCTAACCTTTATTTATATTCATTTAAATATTATCATTTTCTTGATTACCGTACGCTCAGGAACACCAGAACTTGGATATGATATCACATGAGAGCTTTTTACAACCACCGATAACAGAGAAGAAAGTTGTGCTAAATTTTATTTGGCTCTGCCTTTGGTGCGAAAATTTACACGCAACTTGGGTCAAATTGATTTAGCGATTTTAGAGCAGCTTTTTGAGATCCCTGTGCGATTGCAGGGCTACAAAATGATTGCAGGCGGCGAGTAAATCATTTTATTTGCCCACTTTGTTGGCTGATTTGTTTGATGTTTATTGTGTGTTCGTTGCGATGCTGCTGCTGCTGCCATCACAAAGTCAACACAATGAAATTGACCAACGGGCGGCGTTG